AATCAAAGAGATATTAAAAATAATAAAGCTTTATAATACGATAATTACATAAATTTTAGCTTTTACTTCTTTTACGAAGAATCATTTAAGTCTTTGAAAATGTATTGTTTTATATCTATTTAATTCTAATTTTGCAAACATTTCAAATTGGTCATTTTAATAGTTATAGCGTCAATCCTTTGAGTGTTTAGTCAAAGCACCCTACAGATTGTCTAATAATGAAATAATGAAATAATTGGTATTTATTAAAAGAGGATAATTTATTAATAATGTGTTGAGTAAATACATTAAAAGATATGTACGAATGATAATTTGTTATACATTATTCCTCATTCGGCATTAGGCTCGTAAAATTTGAAGTACACAAAAAGAGTTAAGAAAGAAAATTTCTAAGAAATGAGATAACAGAAATTGTTATTCTTGAACTATGCAAATTTTAATGAACAAATTTCTAGTTTCAGAAAATTCAAGTTGTCTCGAATTGTAACTCATTAACATAGACTGCAGATGTTTCCAGACTTTTTAGAAACATAATTAAAGAAATAACAATTTGTTTGTTTCACTAAACACTCCAGTTTGGATATTTTATACATTGTGTCTATTCTTGCGTCTCCAGATTTTCCACAAACATAAAAATCCCTAATCCATTAAGAATCAAACAAGATAATTTCCATGACAGTGTGTTTAAAATTCCGTTGAAATTTCATGAAATTGCAAAACCTAGACGAAAAGAGCAAAACCTAGATGGAAAAGTGTTCGGCGAACTTTCAGGATTTCTTTCTACAACTCCAACATTTAAAAATCAGGATTTTGACAGTCGGCTGAAAAGAATTGCAAATGAAGTGTTGACGCGTTGATAACGACACGTTGGTTCTCGTTAGAAACGGAGTCACCGAACGAGTGCAAAGCACCGCTCTTAAGAGATTTTCGTCGAAGCGTAACACCGGTCGGAGAACAACACGCTCTACAAGTATTACACGGAGCGTGCGGCCCTGGCAGCGCACTTATGGTACACGTAGGTGAATGTCGGGAGAGAAATCATACCGGCAAGGACGGCAAGCCAGCGAGAGGCAGAGGGTGGACGAGAAAAGAAACGACGAGGGAAAGAGAGACAAACCACGCCCGACTCATCCCGACTTTCTAGAAACCGAAAACTGGATCGTGGCCTCTCCTCTGTGGATCTCGGCCGATCTCTGGCAACTGACAGCCGCGAGCTTGATTCACGTAACAGATGTCAGTCTTTAAGGATCGTGTGCCCCGCCTCTCCTTCTTCTTATTTCGACCGTCGTTCCCCGGAACCAGCTACCGTTTCCCGCGGACATTACTCACGAAGTCGCTCGGAGAAACTCCACCATTCGGGAGATAAACTCCGCTGCCCTGCCTCGGGCTCGCTCGAGGGAAACGAAATTCCGAGAAGAGCGAGTCCTCGCGTTGCGATTAAATTACCGGAAATCTCTGAAGGGAGATGAGAACGAGCGAGAGACCCCGATTAAGTCGCAACGGCCTCGTTAAACCACCTACCGAACGACACTCGGATTAACCACGGGCAAATATCGCGATCGTAAAAGAAGATCGTCTTTGAGTCCCCCCCCCCCCACAGGAAAAATCTGATTAGCGCACGCGAGTTTCTCCGGTTGACTGGCTCGGATGGGAAGAAGGGAAAGTACGAGATATGTAAATCGAACTTAATCAACGACATCTAGACGAATGACGCGTCTCCCCCTAGTGCCTGTCGGCTCTGTTCGTGACGAGCAGTACGTAGATGCGATGGAGAAGAGTGGAAAGCAACGGGACACGTCCATATCCACACGCTATCTTTTATCGTTGGAATTCGAAATTAGCAGCTTTCTCGCTGCTTCATCGGGTAATTCCGGTAATAAAGGCCTAGGAGTGTCATTAAAGAAGCTCGGGAGAACCGTTTCCCCGGCCGAGGAATTTATCTCGGCTTTTTGCACGCAACGACTGGGTTAACGACTCGCGAACGAAACCGTTCGGCCGTTCCGGATCATCGAGCATCATCCGGGACGAATCGACGCTTCCGAACCGTCCTTTCGGTGCACTTTCGATTCCAACCGGACGTCAAACGGCAGTCCTGGCTGCGTTTTCTACAATAAATACGTTGTAATTAACGATTTTCACTATTACCGGCCGCGAGAGGAGCCTTTTTGCTCCTGCTCCTTTTATACTGGAACAGGGTTTCTTGCACCGTCGCCAACTCTTCCTTCGCCCCTCCGCCTCGTTCCACTTGCCTCGTCACCAACCCTGTCGCCGGTGGATTTCTCTTTCGTTGGAACCGGACAACCAGCTGAGGATTAGCTTCTTCGGTAACTGGATCGACCCGCGTGAAACGAGTCACCGGCTGTGAAAGGACTCCTCGATTTCTCAAATTAACGAGTGCTTCCTTCGTCTTGGATCGAACGAACGAACGGGCTTGTTCGCTTTCTGTTTCCATCAAATTCGCGTATACATGTATTAATACGTTGATTGCCACGGTGGTAAAATTGGTCGTTGGTAAAATAAATATTTTGGACTGATTGAAACAAAGTGAACATCACCGACACGAAAGTTACTTAATTACGCATTAAATAACGTGTCAAATTACATATTACATATTAAATTACGTATTAAATGTTTCATGACAAAAGATACTTAATTGATAACATAGTTAAATTCGCTTCCGTTGAACATTTGTTATAAAGCGTTTCGTTCATTGATAAAACGTATAAATTTCGCGATAGTTTAACGGTAGTTTAACAGTTGACAGTGTTAGTATGATAAATGACCATGAATTTTCGTTCTCTATATCGGCTAAATGTTGTTTACGTTTCTATTCGTGTCGTCTATCGTGTTGTTACAAGTGAATTCAATCAAAATGGGAGGCGAACGTTCGTTCGTCTGAATGTACCATAACAATTTGATTTCCATTTAATAAAGCGAACGAGAATTGCAAATGAAACGCGCGAATTTCATTCGGAACGTTACGAGCCATGCGTGTGTGTGTGTGTGTGTGTGTGTGTGTGTGTGTGTGTGTGTGTGTGTGTGTGTGTGTGTGTGTGTGTGTGNTGTGTGTCGCCAGTGATTTCAACGCGCGCATAAACATCGATCTACCCGGTGATTTCAATGCCAGATAGAGGAACAATTATGTGACAGCTTGTCCTGCAGCACGTATCATGTAATTTTCTTGCAATCTCAGACGAACAATGATTTCCTGCTGCATTTTGAATCAATCTAAATAAAATCATAATTTAAAAAACGAAACGGTTCTTTTAATTGCAAATATTTTGTTTGAGTTTATTTTTTACTTTCAATTTGTTTAATCGTTTTCGCGCGTATAAGTACTTTCATTACATAAATGAATCTATTAAAAGATCTGTCTCATAAGTGTCTGCCGATTTGAATAGATAGCTGGTGTTTTAAAAACAAGTTCTCTAAACCTTTTGTACATGTTTGTAGCATGTTATTCGTTTTAAAGGTCTGTCGTTTCTGCGACGTTATTTTATTTTACTGTTTCGATGAAAGATTTTTCTAAAACGATAGACTATTGTAATATAATCTATTGTAATATAATAATATCTATTTAATAATATTCTATCTAATATTATAACTTACGCTATAATCCTATTCTGCATGATTTTTCCGTGAAAAAAGTGTAAAAATTTGTTCGTCAAAATAAAAATGACTACACAGGAATTGAAAAGACAACTTCTTTTAACTTTAAAATGACATAATACATATAGAACGTGTTTATAGAACATGTTTTTAAGACATCTGTTATTTATTCTAATAATTTATTCATAATTTTGCGTTATTCTTTACTATAAAAAAAAGTTATCTTTCTGAGTTATCAAATACTTTGTTATATGAAATTAAAAATTGTAATATTTCATACACATGTTCGCAATTTGACGTCATACGTATCGTCGTACAATATTGTCAATACATAAAAACGCGAGCAATTCGAAGGATCGAAAGATTATTTTCTGCAACTCTTAAACTCTTCGCTATCGTCACCTCTGGTCAAAGGTACATTTATCACGATATGGTAGATGTATCGTACTTGACGTGTATAAGATTAATTCGTCTGACAGAAACGAAATCTTTTCACTAAATCGCGCCGATGATACAATAGCTCTTTGATTCTAAATTTGTTCATTGTAGCAAGAAAATACGAGAAAATATTGATAAATAATGTATAACGTTCAATTATTTTAATAACGATAGGAGGTATTTATGCAAAAAAAAAAAAAAGTAGAAATACAAATTCATTGCTCAAAACGATTCATTTATTTTTAATATTATGTATTTCTTCCAACGAGTAAGTTTTTTCATACTGTCACTGAAATACCTCTGTGATTTATAATATTTGGAATCTAGGATCTTTTTAGCTTCTTCGGTATAATTTGAACTGAGATGAATGCTCTAGTTGCAACTTAAGGTTGCAGGAAAGAAATGGAAGTTACGGCATAATGAGTTTCCCAGAAACATCGACGGTTGCTCGCAACGAGTGTGGTCTCGCTTTATCGCGCTCGTAATTAAACTTGACTTACGCACCTTCTTAATTCAGTATATTGATTAAAATTTACTGTTTTTCTGGATTTGGCACGCTAAAGGACTATCTTTTGTTTTAACACTGGAATTTCCGACGACTAAAGTGTAAAGCTTGTATTAGAACACACAAGCTTATATTTATAGATACATCCATTTTAAGAAATGAAGAATCATTCAAGTCTCTAAAAATGCATTGAAATGAGAAATTAGTGGTTTTAATAAAACTTTGGAGGTTCTGTTATTAATTTCGCAAAAGATACTGATTTTTTTTACAAAAATTAATTTTAATACATTCATTTGCAACGAATGAATTTGATAATGGTATCACGTGCAATTCAGCGGAATTCTTTCATTCTTGATCCAAACTTTTATTCCGAATTTCATCGTTCAAATCTTTTCATTCGACCTGTCTATACCTCGAGTGATTGTAAAAACTTTATCGGACGTTTCAGATCATTCCGAGCGACGAGCAGGAGCAAAGCCGAGGGTGACAGAAGCGGTGTGATGAGCGGATATCTCGGTAACATTCCCCTGCCCCCAACGTTGTTGCACGACCCGAAGTATCCTCCAGCCATGCGGGAGAAAGACTCGAGTCCGAGAAAAATGCCGGGCCACATCAGCCCGAAGCAAGCCAGCATCTACCCGTTGAGCGTTCGCGTGCCGGACGTCGAAGAGCTGCCATACGATTTGAGCCACGGTCACGGCCGTGGCCTGTCGAGTCCCACGAATCAACAGCAACATCGTCAACAGCCCCATATGAGCCCTGCGGCCAGGCCGCCTCAGTCGCATCACCAGGAGGATCTCGACTGCGAGCCGCTGGATCTTCGCGTCGATCACAAGAAGGAGAGACTCATGGACGAGAATCAGAACGAGATCGAAGTTCTGAATCAGAACAGCCTCGGCGGGAGTCTTCCCTACCACACGGTCCTGTTCCCGCAGCATCATGCCGTTCATCCGTTGGTCCTCGAGGCCATGTATCGGTCGCATCATCACAGTTCGCCGGTCCCTGACCTGCCTAAAATTCAAGTCCGCGCGTTGCCCACGATGGTACCGTTGCCACCGAACAGATTCTCTTCCACAACATCCTCCACGTCGTCCTCGTCGTCTCAGGCTGCCACGAGAGTACCAAGCCCCACCGGCGGCCAGCAACATCAGCAACCGCAGCAGCAAAGTCACTCGAGTCAGCAGCCGCAGCAACAGCACCAACCGGCGTCCAACCTTCCACCCTACTCGATCAGCGTTCAAGCCGGTTTAAAGCCGAAAGACAGATACTCGTGCAAGTTCTGTGGCAAGGTGTTCCCCAGATCGGCAAACCTGACGCGTCACCTGAGGACGCACACCGGCGAACAGCCGTACAAGTGCAAGTACTGCGAGAGAAGCTTCAGCATCTCCAGCAATCTCCAGCGTCACGTCAGGAACATCCACAACAAGGAGAAACCATTCAAGTGCCCGTTGTGCGAACGATGTTTCGGCCAGCAGACGAACCTGGACAGACACTTGAAGAAACACGACGCCGACGGGCCGACGATACTGGACGAGGTTAGGTCGAGGTACCACGGACAATTGCCGAGAGCGGACGAGTCCTACTTCGAGGAAATTCGCAGCTTCATGGGCAAGATCACCTCGCAGAGGCAGGGGATACCGTACTTCCCTGGGCTGCTGGGTCACGGTGGAGACGACTTCAGGAACGACAAGCAACAACTTCAACTGGAAGAGAAGAGGGGCGATTCTTCCTACTTCAGCGACAGGGACAACCTGAGCTCAAGGTCGAGCAGCACTGCCAGCAGACCCGAGAGCGTGCAAGAGGAACAGCGGGACGTTACTTCGCCGCCGCTTTCCCCGGGAAACAACACCTGAGTCGAAGAATCCGATCGTACGTCCGACGAGAGTGTGCCTCGTCGGCTACGATTAATTAGAGATCGAAGTATCCTTGAATCGATACGGCGAATTCCTACGGGATTCCAAGCTTCGCGGATGTTGCACCGAGTTTCGTCCGGTGGGGGATCGAACATTAAATTCGCTCGCTTAGCAGCGAAGATTTTGATCCGCGAGGATTAGTGTAAATCTTACCGTCGACGAATTACTTTCACGCAATGGATTACTTTCCCTAGTTTCACTGTAATTCTTACTCGTGTAATTCTAATACTTTGCTATTCGGTGTTCAGACGTGGGTCAAACGAAAAACATGCCTTATAGAACGTGCCTGAAATATTTTCCTAAGTGTTCGATGCGCAGGGCCTTACAACTCAACGATGCAAACGGCAAAACTCGATTTCAGCAGTATTTTAGTACCATTAGACGTCGGCGCGTCTTTCCCAACAAAGGAAAACGAATGAACAAAACGCGCGTTAGTTTCGTTCGTAAATTAATCAATAAAAAGAAAAACAATGTCAAAGTTACCATTGTCATTTTAAAATAAAATTTTATACACAGTAGGACCTTCATATTCGTTATCCGTGGTTGGATTGGCAAAGAACTTATTTCCATGAATTATTTATTTATTATACAGTGCACAAACAGCCGTGGATTTCAGGTTTGAAAACTGTAATGTTTTTCTATATTTCAGTTTATAAAATTCAGCGCGATTTAAATTGGTCTATAAGTATTGCAATGAAAATTTTTAAAACACGTTTGTGCAATAATAATGTCCTGATGTGTGCGTAATAAGCTACAAAAAAAAAAAAAGAACAAAATGGATCTATGTTACAGGATTCGCACATTTCGGTATTCTCGTTATCAATTTCCCGCGAGTAGTTCTACTCTGACTCTGTAAATTGAAATACTTATTTCTAATTGTGCCTCAAAGATTAATTTACACGCGTGGAACTGACAAACCATAATTGAATTCTCATCCTACTCATCTTTCCTCGTCCAAAATTATGCTATCGGAAGATTGCGTAATATCTTGTATCTAGTATCGGTTCGAAGAATAAGGTTAGGTAATCTCTAACAACTGTGCCCAACAGCTAGAGAACGAAATCGTTGAACAAAAACTCAAGTACTAGAATGAAATATCAAGTAAACGCGGGTTGAACTCGTTCTGGCTGGGAGGAACAGTTGAAAACGACTCCACTTCGCGATTTTACGACCTAGAAAGTGTATTTCAATCACCGCGTCGCCTCGATCCCGATTCGTGGTACCGACGACGAACAATAAAGTAGAAATCGATGGGCGGATCTGTGCGGTTGTCGATCGACTGACTGAATCTCGTTCTCGGCCGGAAGCAACGGAAAACTCAATATCAACGACACGAATCATTAAGTTTCTCGTCGAGGAAGTTCGAGACAGACCTTGGAAACATTTTCACGAAACAAGAGAAATCATCAAGGAAACAAATTGTCTTCTCGTTCAATTTTTGTCAATTTTTGTCAAATTAGAAAAGAAAAAAAAGAACAGAAACAGAGTGCAAAGATTAAACAGATTATAGGAGATTACGCAAAAGATTGGGAAATTGTACGAAACGTTATATACGAGGATGAATTAGTGCTAGACACGTGGGAAAACCGGCAGGAAAAGCAGCTTCCTGTAGCCAGACGATTTACCAGAGTGACTCTACGAAGCTCGGTGGAAGGCGCCATCGGCGGGAACCCGCATGATCGTTTCCTGCCGATGGTCGCTGAAAACTGTACCCGGTGAGAAAACGATCAGCGCGGCTACGAATTCTGGACTTTCTAATTGGCGCTCTGACCTTGTAAGTAAGCGGCCCATTTCGATTAATTACACCTGATCCAGATCGAATGGCCAACCGGCGTAGTATCGTGCGGATGCTTCTAAAATTGGCACCTGGATAGTTACGTGAACGTAATCCGTTTGAAACGTACGCTGGTAGTGGAAGTTACATCTTTTTTGTGCTCATCAGGAGGCGCGTCGGGTTGAATGAAATTCGCCAAGTTTTACGGCATGTTTGTTGAGCAACGGCCCGATGATTGGCAAGAGAGGAAACTCGGCAGGGAAACGTGGAATTACGGTACCAAAGATCAAAACGATAGTGAAACTTGAAGAATGTTTCTCCGAGGGAGGGGAGAAACTTGGCTTTGGAGATATGGTAATTATCCGCCTTCCCGGCGGGCGGAAGTTGAGGAGATCGAGCCGAAAAGCAAAAGAGGAAGCTCCGAGGCGATCGAATCGACTGCCGGCGCGATACTAGTAGCGCAGGTGCAGAGTTGCACGATGCAGCGGCGGCGAGCCACGCGGTCGCGAGATCCTCTTGACCTTGGTGAACGCGATCGACGAGCAGTTAAGCCGAAAGCGCGTCGAGAAAAGGGTTGGGCGGTTCTTCTTTCCCAAGGAATCCGAGGAAACGGTGGTCCACTGAATCTGAACAGTGTGACGCGTGAGAAACCATTTGCGCTTTCTAGTTTGGAATGTCGAGGATCATCTGAATTATAGGTGTTGCTGAAATGCTGGATGAAATGCGAACCAATGACTGCGACCTTGATAAGGAATCAAAACGCGTTGCGACAAACAAATGTGATAAGCCTAAAAGATCGTTGACTCAACGTTGAACGAGAAATTTAGACGAAACATTGAAACTACAAAGTCAGAAAAATCTAGGGAAACTGGGGAAATGGGAAGGAAAAAAAGAGACGCGTGTACACGACGCGTGTATTTACAAAATCCATTTTAAGAGCGAGCCAATTTCGTAAGGAGATCGATGCAACGCGTTACGAGGACGTGGCCCAAGGTGTGACTAAGCTTCTACGGTGTGTGGACGTCTCTCTCCGTGCGAACGAAGCCACGAGAGAGGATGGCAGGGCCCTGTTTTTCTTGCCTCACGCATACGATCCGGCCGACGATGGCCTCGGACCTCTGTTGCGTTACACTTTTGCCACGCCCCGATCGGACGGGCAAGCTCATCGCGAAAGTGAAACGCAATAAAGGAGCCACGCCGGAGCGAGAGAGCCTCGACATCCATGAAACTGTTAACGGAGAAATACAGCCGAGAGAAGGAACGATCCGGCGTGTCCTCAGCGATTCAGACGGAGAGAGAACGGTCGAACGAGGAGGAGGGAAGATCGATGGAAACCTCAAAGCTTGGAAATCGATTTCTTCGCCAGCTTCCACAGTTGCCGATCGAACGGCATTTCAACCGAAATTCCTCAGTCGATCCGCAATCTCCTCGCGTCTCTGCCTTCGTTTTCTTTGAGAAACACCACTCACAAACGAATCTTCTTTTCATTCTAAATCATATCGCGACAACATCGTGACAGAAGCGTCATCCACTTTCCAGGAAAATGGACGAATCTCTCTGTGGGATCGCCACCAGTTTCCACGCTAGGCAACACGCCGACCAGTTCCCCGGCAAAAAAAGAAGCCGCGAAATTTCTCGAAGACGAGTCTACCCGCGAAATTATCTACCCGTTCTCACGTACACCGGCGCTCGCTTTTTCGATCTCATCTCGTTCCAGTTGTGTACGCTTGTGATTTCACTGGACAGGTCGGCCCGATTCGAATTACGACAGCCTCGTGTTACGAGGCAGGAAAAAAACGTCGTACGAAAAACACGCGGCGAGAAAACGCGCGTCCGCGTCCACTCTAGAAAAACCCTGCTAGAAACTCCGATTCCATCGTGCCGTACGAACAACTCGCCGTTACCTTTCGATTCCAAGAAACGATCGAGCGGATCACCCTCCGTCCTACACCCTGTTTTCCGATCATTGTACATACATAACGTGTTCAACGATACGAATCACATTAACGAATTATAATATAATATAATATATATGTACCTATATAGCTGCTAGAATTTGAAACGAGGCTCAATTTAGTTAGTCGATGTCGTCACAAAGATATTAAGTTCATCGGGAGTTCCGCGAGATCTACGATTGCCATTGTCACGTTTGACGAGCCGTACTCCGAGATCGAACTCGTTAACTGGCGAATTGCTAGGTGCAGCTAATCCCGCCAACAAATTTGCGTGCAATTTCAACGAGGAATCTCATCTCTCATGTGTGTTCGTCTGTCGACCATGGACTTGAAGGAAAACTGGTCCGGCGAATGATCGACGATTGATATTAATTGAAATAGGGCGTTCTCACTGAATAACTAATAGTCAGCCGCGCGCAAGGTGTACCAAGCGGATCGTGAAAGAGTACCGTTTTTTTTTTTAATTTTTGATATATGTATAAACATAGAGATCTATATATGTGCGTGCGTGTGTGTGTGTAAATCGTACGACGATTGTGATTTCACCGAGGTTACCGAGTTATACGTATTTACCGTTTAACCACAAACACGGCGCCGTCAGCCGACCAAGCTATCAAGCGCTCGTTACCTTTTAGAACCGCTAGTTCGTAAGTGTCCATCGCAGATGTCCATCCACGCTCAGTTTTGTCTCGTATTTCCTTTTTTCTTTCCTCCGTCTTTCTTTTACATAGTCAAATTCGGAGGGGACCTAACGTCAATCGAATCGAAAGGATCGCCGTCGCCTCGAGATCGAATCGAATCGAATCCTTTCCCACTAGATGTGTTGACACTTAGCCATTTCTTTTTCTTTTCTTTTGTGTCAGAGATTATTAAGTTGAACGAACGTGCATTTTGTTCGTTCGTGTCGATGATCTCGTCGTGAGAACGAAAATTATTCGCCCCTTTACTTACGGACAATTTTCGATCTTAAGTGCTCCTATTTTTTTTTTTTTTTTTTTTTTTACTCGTTAAGAAAAAAAAACACATACACACAACTCTCTGTTTAGCCCCGTAGTCACGCGTCCTGTAGAATATAGTGGTGAACTGTATATATGTTTATATGTAATATTCAATTTTTGAAAAATATATATATATATATATGTATGTATGTATGTATGAATGTACACATACAGAAAAGAGAGAGAGAAACGAAGTTACACATGGAAATTCATTTTAAAGAAACTCTCGTCGTACTTGCGTTTACTTTCTCCGCTCTCTCGTCGCGTTCCCGCGCCCGTGTGTACACCTCTCCGAACCTTTCATTAAACTTCCTATTTTTGTGTCCCTACGATGCCGCAAGTTTTTCGGTGATTTCGCGAACGCCTTAAAAGAAAGTTACCTGAAAGGCTGAAGAAATCTTAATCGAGCTGTCGTTTCTTTGCAAAACGGGATTACCTAGCAAGTTCTTTATTTTTTCTAATATTTAGAATACGAGGATTTATCGAGTAACGGTATTTCGTACGTTCGACGAGTCGGAAATTCAAGTTCCTCGGAAGATGGTCGCGTTTCCAGAAATTCAACGTTCCTGCTCCGGCAAGGAAATTAACGTGAGAAACGGCAAATTGTCCAGGGTCATAAGTGTGTGAGAACCGGAACACACGGTGGACAAGACGAGCACGTGATCACGTGGACGATAGATCTTAATCTTGATTTTTCTATTCGTGAATCTTTCTAGATCTCGTTCCTAATGTTATTCATGTATCCGTTTTTGAAAGACTTCGTTCTATTACCGACATGTCTGTAATGTTAAAATTCGTTTTATTAATAAAGAGTATTTACGATGGTTATAGAAAAAAAGAAGGAGAGAAATATAAAATTTCTATGGATATCAAATATTGTTGCTTCCATTCAAATATAATCAAAGCTTGTGATGTTAAAGTATTGGAAGATATGAATTAACGCGCTCAGTGGATGCGGTCTTTCTTGCGTTCATCGAATGATATCGATCCATAAATAAAGGCTCACTCATCTCGACCAAACTTGGCTTGTAGGTGATCGTAACGAACAGGGAGACTAGGCCACTTCAAGCTAAGTGGCGTCTTGGCCTCGCCGAGGACATGACTTTGACCCACATGCCGTTAACACCAATCAGACTATTGGTACGAATTCCAATTGTTTTACTCAAAACGAGACATTCAAAATGCCCAGAAGACTCGTTTTATCTAACACTCTACTGTAACAAAGAACTTCTTTTTAGTAGAAAGTGAATACTGATAACACAAAAGGAGTATGAAATGAAATTTCGTAAACGGACATTCATTGGAATACTTATCTATATAAATATTAATTATATTTGATTGAAAAATTGACTGCAATCTTAAGGACACGACCTTGATAACATTACAATAAAGATGATTCGTCATGTGTAGCCTTAGACTAGTTTAGTGAATCATCGACTACGAACAGCATCTTCTCCAGAATTTGCAACGAGGTATTATCTACTTAAAGAACTTCTGTGTTAGTTTAAAAATGTTGGCGCGACACACGTGCGTCACGTTTTTTACGAGATGGTGCCAAAGCTGTTAATGGATAGAATGCATTAAAATAATTCTTTTTTATAAATAATAACATTTACATAGAAGTCACGTATAAATTTATTAACAAACATTTCCTGCAAAAATTCGTAAATTAAATTTTTATTAAAAATAGTTTCAAAAATATATTGCGCTTATGCTAAATTATTGTAGTATTATTTCCAGGGAATTGACTCTAATAACCATTTCTGATCGATGCTTTCTGTACAAGCTGCTATCACAGGTCCCTCGTCATTGTTTGATTGTAAACACATTCCGGATGATATGTGTGTAAAAATCTTCGACTAGAAAAGAGAAGGAAATTTAGAACTAATTTGTTTAAAACTTATAAGAAAAATACAAATGAGAATACAAAACAGACTTGTTCGTCGTATCGCCATTTTTGTCTATTATGACCACTACATGCCATTATTTTAACCTTTGGTGTTTTGTGCTGAGTGTCATGATCCAAAGGTGCATCCAAACAGACGCTTTCATCAGTCATTATAATTCCATCCGTCGTCATTACAAACATTTGACTAAGTATTGGCCTCGGTAAGCATGTTTCAAGAATTGCGTATCCCGAGGGTTGTGAATACGTTCCTTTCGCAGTTGGTCGCATAATGCATTTATTCGATGAAATATGCAAAATCTAAAATATATAAATATTTGTTATCTGATTTGTAATCTGATTTAACGTTCAAATCTATCATTCAGTTGTAGCGTCAAATTTTTAACTTTACCCGTCCAAAGAAACGATCGTCTTTCGGAAAAAAGTGTTCAGGCCAAACATTATCCAAATACCACTCGAAATTTTTACACTGTAATTTTTTACGTAATTCCAATCTCGCTCGAATTGGCTGTTTGTCTCTTAATCTAGCTGCCTCTGGAAGGGAGCATATAAAGATAATCAAACATTCGACTCATTTATGAAATAACTTTTTTTTAAATAAAATTTGATTACCTGCATTAAACTTAAAATAAAATTCTGCCCATTCGTCCATCCAAACTAAAGCTACTCTAGCGAGATTTCCATATAGAATCTCTCCAACACCGCCTGGGAACGTGTACGGTGATGATTTACGAAAGAGATGCCCTACGTGAGAGCATGGAGCAATCTCAACGCTACCGCCGCATTGCCATACTCGAAACGATAATTCCAAATTTTCACCACCCCAAATTTTCATTTGGTCGTCGTAACTACCTAGTTCGAAGAAATAATCTCGATTCATAGAAAATAACCCTCCAGCCATGGCAGGTGTTCTGAATGGTTCGACGATATTTTCACGTCTTTCTTTCAACAACCGACCGTTTAACGTTAGCCAACGAAAGTGTAAGTCCCAATTAAACGCGCCCCAGTGTAACTCAAAAGACCTGTAATGTCACATCATTATTTATTTCATTGTCACAGTATGGTGAAAATAATTATATCTTACCGAGTATAACTGAAAGTATCGTCATTTATAATATCGATAACAGGCGATACCACCCTAGTTTTATTCTTAGCAACCGCTTCAAGTAAGGGTTCCAACCATCCTACATCATATCGATCGATAAACATTACAATAAAAAATGTATCATTTTATTATATATATAATATTGTACTTATTACAAAAATATTAACAAAAGAGCTTACCTACCAACCGTGCATTCGCAATGTGCATCAAGAAATGTGAGGACTTCACCTTTAGCATGGTTGGCACCTAAAAGCCTCGCGTTTACTAACCCTATACGTATCCTGGAACGAAGAACTTTAGTGGGAACTTTTAAATTTTTTACATGTTCATCTAACGTATCCTTCAAAAAATCTAATAAACAAAAAATAAAAATAATTTTAATACATTCTTAAAAAGAACAAAAGAATGTTAATGAAAGATATTATCTGTACCTCTGTCGCTATTATCATCAACAAGAATAATTTCTTCTAATAAATGCCTTGGCGATCTGTTAATTACACTATATACAGTCCTGAGCAACGTACTCCAAGCTTCGTTGTGGAAAACGATAATTATTGATGTTGTTGGTAAGTTACCTACGTTCGTATATCGCGTTATGCACCTGCAATCGGTAAATTTCCTACTGCTGATTATGTTATCGACAAAGTAAAAATACCAATAGAGCACGTTACCCTTTTCTTCTAACATCAGGCAAAGAGCGATTCAACGGTATTCTATCACTAGCCATTAAATTAAATCGATTGATTTGAAAGAGCTGTTGCATTTTATAAAAGTCTTTCGCCGGCACAAGAACCGGATTACCATCCTTTCCTTCAAATGGCCTTGGATTAAACATATTTTTGTTAATGAGATCTGTTAATGAGAAATAAAAGGTATAACTGAATTCACAGCCGGTATGTGCAGCTTATTTCGTAACTAACCTTTCGTAATGTTCGGCGCTTTCATAGGATCTACGGAGTCTCCAATATAATGTCCTACCACCACATGTACTCCTTTACGATCTATATAATCTCTTTGATTATTCAAGAGCCTGAGAATGAAAAGACGAAGAATGAAATTATAATACGTATGAGACATTTTATATATATCTAAAATCATCTACAGTGACTGAAGCTATCATAATATTCCACTTGATTGCTTCTCGAAAGAAACAATAAATATTTTTGTAAATAATATTTTACAACAATTTCAATTGCAGATTTCCCGCTTCGTGATTGCTTACCGGAGTGAGACGTAATCATTACGAGAATTTTCGTCCTCTCGCTTTTTCCATGACCAAACGATGAGTATTCCTATTAAAAGAGTGATCAAAAGAACAATTGACCACGTGCGGCATGATTTTCTCAATCGTGGCCACATCGTGATCCTTGCCGGAAAGAGCGCTAAACTTGACTAATTTTGAAAGTAATTCCATTTATCTCATTATGGAATAATTAGCTGTTATCGTTGATGCCAGACTTTCGTTATCACGTATTTCTCATCCCGGGTCATCATAAAAAAAAACGTTGTGACGTTTACCTTGAACTGGAGAACATTACGAAAGTATGGATAAATGTTAGTATTATGATTCGAGTAAGTTTGAGCAAAAAAAAAAAAGATACTATTTATCGTGTATCGTTGTATAAAAAGCAATAAAAGTGAAAGTAACATGGAAGTACAAAAGTTTATAATCAGGTTTATAGCTTACCTGAATTTGTATCAAAATTGCAGTGGACTACACAGGATACGTTGGAGCAATTTTAGATATACTTCACCAATACGTATATAGCAACGAAGAAGAGATTTTCTTTATTTTCACATGATAAATGTTATTTTTTAATCAGAGAGGTATTTTATCTCGCTGAGAAAATATTTTTGTCAATGATTTTTGTTAAGACTCTGTTGTATTGAAACGGCGCACTGGAATTACTGCGTTCGTGTTACTATAGATCCGACGACTGGAATGAACTCCAAGAACTTGGAACGCTATGAATAAGGCAGTGTTGTATCAAAGCACTTCGTTACCTCGCACCTTCTGTCATACATGATTTTTGACACAAGATAATTTAATTTGCGAAAGCACCATTATGTTTTATATATATGAAAGTGATGTTATATTTTATATGTGAAAGAAAAGTTACATCAATTGGATGTATCACTATTTCTTATAAAAAAAATTATGCATTCTATATATATAAATTTTTTGTGTCTTTTCAGATATTTCGCATTTTTGACCACTAGTTAGTTAGTTTTATTTAAATAATAAAATATAATTGAAAAGACCGAACATCAAATGAAACTACATTAATATCCTTTGTTGATTATTCACGCTCGAATGTCAATAAAAAAAAAAAAAAAATTCATGAAAATTAAAAGATAATAATAACTAAATTATAATTACAATAATAATATATGACGTGTATGATATTTGTGGAAATTTCCAAAATTGTCAATGTTGATAAGTATGTATCTACAAAAATAAAATAAAAAAATCTCATACGGTTCATTCGAATAAATTACACTATTAATAGAATGAGAATTTATTAAAAGGAGGTCTCTTTTCTTCAGGTATATAATTACAGTCTGATATTGTGTTGAAATTATTATGAAAATACAATCTAGGATATTTTGTGTAGAAGAAATATTTTTTCTTCTCGGTGTGTAAATACGCATTCAGTGGAAACGAACAAAGTAGACTGTACCACAGACGACAGGTATATATCTCCTCCGTGACTGTACTTTACTAATGTATCAGGAATACCAAAGAGGTCAGCACTATTCTGAACGTATGGTTCGCCACGTTGGAACAATTTGACGGGTGATTGCTGCTTGTTTGACATTAGGAATTTATTTCCTATAATATACTTAATTATAGTTAATTCGATATAACAAGGTGAGGGAATATTATTTAGATAAATTGTATATTTCCTGTTTCATCTGAAATTAACTGTAAATTTCTGTAATGTACACGTGTTACAATTTGGTACTATGCAGTAGGGCGCTGAACTTACGAATCGAGTGTAATGCATTTACAGTACTATTATTTATTGTCGTTCGTAGTTGGTTCACACAGTTTTGCTGAAAGTAAAATATATGATTCTTCTTAAGTGAATTTTCTTTGAAGCGTTTGCCTTTACATAAATTTATTTACTGTAATTCGGAAAATTCTACAGTAGAATATAATCAAGTAAATGTGTACACACACATCTTTGTTGCACTATGTGTTATTCTTTTAATCTGATATAAAAAATTTACTGAAAAATTAATAAATAATTTGTGTCTTAGCGAACCGAAGATGAAGATAAAAGAGTTACTCAAGACTGTCAATGTAGCATGGTCACCACCAGCTCAGCATCCCATACTATTGGCTGCAGGAACTGCAGCGCAACAACTTGATGCAAGTTTTAACACAACCGCCAGCTTGGATTTATATTCCTTAAATTTACAACAACCTGGATATGATTTGGAGCTTAAGACCACTATTGCAAGTGACCATAGGTTAGAGATAAATTATGCTTCTGCAGATGTATCATGAAATAGTTAACAAAGTGTCATACATTTATAAAAATTTTAGATTTCATAAAATAATTTGGGGTTCATATGGTAATAATCCAGCTGGCATAATTGTCGGAGGCTGTGATTATGGCATTATAAAAATTTATTCAGCTGCTAAAATGTTAGCCAATGATAATAATTATTTGATAAGTCAGACAGACAGACATACAGGTCCAGTTAGAGCACTTGATTTTAATCCCTTTCAAGCAAATTTATTAGCAACTGGCGCAACAGAAAATGAAATTTATATATGGGATATTGTTAATACAAATTCTCCAATGACTCCTGGAGCCAGAAGTCAACCACTAGAGGATGTGCAGTACATTGCTTGGAATAAGCAAGGTATCTTGCAATATATTTAATGTATTTATATTTTTACATTTTTAATTTTTTGTTTTTCCTTGCAGTGCAACATATTCTTGCTTCCACATTTTCACAACGTTGTACTATCTGGGACTTAAGGAAGAATGAACCTATTATCAACTTAACAGATACAAATTCAAAAGTACATTTTGCTATAATATACTTAATAAATATATTTTTTTTTAAATAATTCTTACATTTATGTATAAATACAGGTAAGATGGAAAGTAGTTCAATGGCATCCGGATGTTGCAACACAGTTGTGCTTAGCATCAGAAGAAGATCAAGCTCCGATAATTGAATTATGGGATTTGAGATTTGCAACATCACCTTTGAAAACGCTTCAAAATCACCAACGTGGTGTTCTATCAATTGCATGGAACCTGCATGATTCGAACTTACTTTTAAGTTGTGCCAAAGATAACAGAATATTGTGTTGGAATCCTAACTCAGATGCAGCAGTAAGTCCAAAGAAATATATTTATATGAATACATATAATTTGTTCCTTATATATTGTTTAACATACAGAATGGTGAAGTAATTTGTGAGTTAGCACAAACAAATCAATGGAACTTTGATGTATCATGGTGTCCAAGAAATCCTGGATTAGTTGTGGGAACTAGTTTTGATGGACATGCAACAGTTTACTCTTTATTGGGAGGACAACAACAAATGTCTATAGAAACGTCTGACAAAATTGTAGATTCCTTTCCTGGAATGGATCCTTTCACACATGCGCCACCTCCAGTACAAACAGAACCAGCAGTTGTTTTGACAAAAGCTCCAAAATGGTTAAAAAGACCATTTGGAGCATCCTTTGGTGTAAGTAATCAATTTTATATGGTATAGTAGTAAATTTACTTCTATTACAAAAATAGTAAATTTTTTTTAGTTTGGTGGTAAATTGGTAATATTTGAAAATGGACCTGTAGATCCTAATCTTCCTCCGAATTCAAATAGAAAAGTGATCATATCACAAGTAGTCACACAACCTGAGTTAATTCAACGTTCAAATGAGTTGGAGGAAGTTCTTAAAAGCGAACAATATAATGATTACTGCAAAGGAAAAGCTGACAATACTACTGATATATATAGAAAAAAAATATGGAATTGTGTAGGTGCATATTTTGGTGAAAATGTAACAAAAGATATATTAAATTTACTTGGTTATAACATAGAAGCAATGAACAATAAATTAAATCAATTTGTTCCACAAGAAGATATTGATAATATTACAGAAGGAGTTGGTAATTTGAATAATGTAAGTTTAATTTTTACAGTATTTAAGAAGACTTTTACAATATTCATATATAACAAAAAATATTATTTGTTTAGGTACTTAATGGAAACGTTATTGATGGAAGCATGGCATTTGATGCTATTGCACAAGAATCTAAGAAAGCATCAATGGCTATTTTAAAAAATAAAAACATGCAGATAAATGTATCAGATGGTAAGAAAAATTTCATGATTATAACACATTACAGCACATATATACAACTTCTTGTCCTAAATTTCCATTACATTTAATGATAAAATTTTATTTTCTTGGATTACAGATGAGGATGGGCTTATAACTCAAGCAATCCTCTTAGGAAATATAGAAGCTGCTGTATCATTATGCTTTGTAAATAAAAGGTACGCAGATGCAGTCATTCTTTCAATGGCTGCGGGACCTGATTTATTAGCACGTACCCAGTACAGATACTTTTCAGAACATTCTGGAGCTCTCAATTCTCTTATCAATTCATTAGTTAGTGAAAATTGGGCTGATGTTGTTAACAATGCTGACATAAATTGTTGGAAAGAAGTGCTAATTGGAATATTTACTCATACCAATTCACAAGAACGATCTGCTTTGTGCGGTATGTATCATATTATAATATAAATGTTATAACAATTTAACATATATAACATTTGAGTTTTTGGTCTTATAGATATGCTTGGAGATCGTTTGGCAGCATGTGATAATGTAATGCTCAAAGAACAAGCTCAAATTTGTTATGTTTGTTCTGGTAATTTGAATAAAATGGTTGAATCCTCCAATGTAGAAATTCAAGAGGTAGTAGAACTAGTAATTATAATGCAAAAAGCATTAGAAATGCAAGGTATCAGAAACGTACAAATAGAAGGAAAAATTGCCAACGTTTTGTCTTGCTATGCAGAAATGTTAGCTGCTGAGGGAGATTTGGACGCTGCACTAAATTATCTAGGAAATAGTCAAAATGAAAAAGTCATGATGTTAAAAGATCGTCTGATGCGAGCCTTAGGTTATATCGAAGAATCAAAAGTTGTGCCAAAAGGACCAGCAATGCAAACTTATTACGATAGAACAAGACGACCTGTACCAGGCGTACAGGGTGTACAAAATCCAATGTCTGCTGGATCAGCAAGACCTTTCTTCGATACGAATATTGCTCCCATGAAACAATCTTTTATATCTTCTTCAAATCAATTTAATACTCATACACAGCAACAACCATTTGGAATGTCTCCTCTTCAGCCACATGTACAACCAGTGCAACCAATGCAACCTATTCAACCTATGCAATCTATGCAATCTATGCAATCTATGCAATCTATACCACCTATGCCACCTATACCATATGAACAAACGTCTCATTCTTACACTTCAACATCTGTTGCTCAACCACCACCACCGCCACCACCTTCTTCAAGTGCTTCGAGCGGAATTGGATCTCGACCACCTAGTGCTGGACCTCCAACAAGATCAAAATACATAATAGATCCGTCTGTAAAGTCTACTTCAACATACGGACAAGCTGGTTTTCCTCAGCAAACATCGCTGTATAATAATCAACAAATACCTCCAGTGCCAGGCTATTCTCAGAATATGTATCAACCGCAAGTTCCTATGTCTACAAACACATACCCTGGACAGAATCTTGTGCCTAATATTAAAGAAGCGGAAACTTTTAAACCAGTTCAACTTAGTGTATTATCATCATTACAAAATACATCACAAAGTCAAATGCATGAACCAATTAGAATGCAACCACTTCCGCAGACTCAAATATATGGAAGCGAAAATCAACCACCAATGGATCGCGCAAACATTTATCAAGCACCGCTACAGCCAGCAGGATGGAATGATCCACCAGCTGCAAAGCCATCTAGAATACAGGTAAATATTTTTATTTTTTTATTTTCTGTTAATATACGTGGTGTTAGGTGTTAAAATAGTAATTAGTTATTATACATAACTTTATACTTACGATATATATGTATATGTATATTTAAATAATATAGCCAGTACTGGCATTATGCAACAAAAATGAAATGTCTGCGGATCATGCTGGTACCAGGAAGTGGAAAGAAAAATATTCGAAGAATGTGAATATTAAGGTAGACACCTAAGAAAAATTGAGTGTTGTTTCCACTGTTTCATCACTGCTATTTTTTTTTTAATCAAAATATATTTGTTCCCCTTAAATATTTCTTAAACTCGACTTAATAAATTGCGAATAACAATTTCGTGTGATACTATATTAACTAATGTAACAGTGTGAAATACGAAGACATTTCCAACTGCTTTATACAAAAATTGGAGTCGTGCGAATACTGCATTGTACAATCATGCGTATCATTTTGTTACTGCAGTTAATAGATAAAAGTATGTATTATCTTTAATATAACATTACATTTTTTGCAGTCAAAACAAGATTATCAATCCCAAAATCCGATTTTACATCCATTAAGAGGGACACAACCTGAACCAAGTGTAAGTGATATGATTAAAATATTTAATGAATTATAAAATGTTATTACTTTTCATTCTTTTTTTTTTTCTAGGTTTTGCAACAAGAAAAATTTTATTCGGATATGCAAGCACCTTATAACCCACAACAATATAATCAGAATATGCCAAATGTAGCTGCTCAATATGCCAAACCAATGGAATTTACACCACCAATTGCCAGGACACCGGAACCGGAGAAACCAAAACCACCAATTCCGGAACAACATATGCACTTAAAAACAGTATTTGATGAACTAAAAAACCAATGCTTTGAAAACGCCAAAAATCCAGTAAGATGATTCTTCATGTTTATAAGTATGATATATTTTATTTATATTGCAATCAATATTAGCAATTTTTTTCATTTTTCCAGCAAATAAAACGGAAAATAGGAGATGTATCTAGAAAACTCGAAGTTTTATACGATTGTCTTAGAGAGAGCAAGGTATGTACATTATTTTTTGTATTACACTACAATATAAAAGAAAATAAATATATTTGTAATACGTATACGTTATAGCTATCGCAGAACACTTTACAAGGATTACATCAAATATCACAGATGATTCAGAGTGGAAATTATACTGGAGGATTAGACCTTCACACACAATTAGTTTCAGGACCAGATTTTAGCCAAATATCTTCTTTTATGCCTGGTATCAAAGTATTATTGCTAAGTGCTCTTCAATTGAATGTTTACATTAGATAGAATGCAATATATAAAACCCGGAATATTTCCACTTATTCATTTTTATAATTTAAAATTTTTATAATCTTTGAAAGCCTTATTAAACAAAGTATTTACGTTATGTTAACTTTCCATAGTATTTAGTACAGTACGGATATTTGTATATAAAGTTTATGACTGAATCATATCATCAACAAAATCGTAATGTTTATATATTTACACTTAAAAGATGGCTTGTCAAAATTAGATGAGCTTGTACTACTATCCTAATTAAAAGAATTGATTGTCCAAGACACATGTAAAAACTAGAAAAGTATTCAGATAAAATTTCTGCAAATCAAATTTTGTTTTGTTTTAAATATCTGTACATAAAATATTGATTTAAGAAAATCATATGTATATTTTAAAATAAAAAATTATATGATAATTTTATTAAAATCATGTATTAAATTTAGTAATGAAAATAATGTTAAACTGATTTATTGAATAATTAAACTATGTAGTATGGCTGCTTTTTCATTGATAATAAACTTTTGTAACAATTCATCTAATGAATCGATGCCGTCTCGAGCTGCCTGTCGGCGCATTGCTTGTTTTACTTCTTCGCGCACTCCTTTATCTGCTCCACGAGTGGTAATACGTCGATCTATAATATTTTTATATAGTTATATAAATAAACACAAAGATGTGGTGCAATGTATAAAATGACCTACTTTGTAGAATCCCTGATCCGGTCGCTATATCTAAAGATATACCACCTCCATGTTCCGTCCATAGATATGTTAATTCTTCTAAAATATCTACACATATAATATAAGCTTGAAATAATGGGTAAGAAAAAGATCCACGATTAATAATCCTTTCTGTAATTATGGATAAAGTACTAGCTTCTTGCGGCCAATCAATTTGCATTAGAACTAATGCATGTCCTATAGCTAAGTCTCCAACCCCACCGGGTAAAGAAAAATTTTCCTGTTACAAAGTAATAATAATAATAAATATAATAGTGGAATTGCACCGTTCTTAATCACAATTCTCTTAATTACCTTTATCGCCAAAAAAAGTAATCTGCAACAATATTGTATAACAGGAAAACGTGCCAGTGTTAAATAATGTAAATGTCTTCCACATGGAACAGTTAAATTATGAGATACTTTACCGCAAGCCGAAGGTAATGCGGTAACTGCTAAAACTATATATTCTAACATTCCCTATAAAAATATGTATTTAAGAATATTTCTAAAGACAATATAAATAAAATATAACAATATAAAAATATATTAAAGTACCTTATAATCTTTCAAGGAAAAACATGTACTTGCTAAGCGAAGATGAACAGGTAAACTAACAGCTTCTTGAGATAATCTTGTTAACACTTCATGATGTAAACCTTTATACATAGCCAAATCTGTTAGAAATGAATTTAGCCATGAATCTAATCGAAGTTGTTGATTTATTTTTCCAATTTCTCTTTGTAAATAATCATTACTATGTAACAAGTCCCATAACTTCACGGCTAATGCCAATCCATTACCATTATAATCACCATCACTGGTTAGTACAATTCCTCCATTATCTTCTCTTTTCCGTTTTTTCAATTTTTCTAATTATGATAAAAATAATTAAATTATAATCTAAAAAAAAAATCTAGATACAATTTATATAGTTTACAGATTACAAAAGATACAGATGTAGTCTAATATAAAGTACAAATTATATTTGTAGGTGATCATTGGGACGATCGCCTACATATTTTACCTGTAGGTGTGTGTATACATTCTCCAAATGCTTCTACCAAACAGTACATAATTTCGTCATTATTAATCAATGCATTATGTTCATTTAATATCCTCAATAATACTGCAATACTACACATCAATAATTGTCTAACTGTCAATTCGTCACATAAGTTAGCAGAATGTACAATGGCATACTGATGCAATCTTTCACAATATGCTTCTCTGTTCCAAGCCATAGAAAATAAATTACTTAATTCCCATCCCAATTTTTTTCCTATTAATTCAACAACTTGAAACAATCTATCCCAGGGATTTTGAATTTGATTATCTTGTGGTTGTTGTATGTATGCCAAATAAAATTCTACTGCTTTACAAAGTAATCTCAAGCTAAGCCTTGGGTTCAATTCTACCTGTGCAGTACCAAGGAGGGGTAATGCATCACAGGCCAATAATTTTCTGTATCCATTTACTGTACGTCCTGGGTGACTATGTTTCTCTGCAGTAAGAAGAGTTTCTACTAAGCGTGGCTAAAAATGTAACAAATTAAGAACTATAATGACAGATACAAATATCACAAATACATTAATTAAAGATGCTTACTCCATGGGTGGCAATAGTTTGAGGGAATTTACGCAATAAAAGAAGTAATAATTTACAATGTTCCATTGTATCTTCGCTATGATCAGCAGTCATAATAAGCAATCTGTGCTGAAGTTCTTGTGGTATGTGTTGAAACATTTGACATAAAAATTCTGCTTCAGCATCACATTGTTCCAAACGAAGACAAGCTGTTACCGTCTCTATTTCTTTCCATATATCACGATCGTCTGGAAAATTCTGAAATCTATTTTTATGTTTAAATAATTATTCTTCTGTAAAGACTATTCACTTTTATATATATAAATTTATTTAAATATATATATATATATAATTTATTTAAATAATTGTAATTTATTTTATACTTACATTTCACTAAAACATTTTGCTGCTTCTTTCATATTTTTTGAAAGTTTTTCGATCCGATAGGCCTCGAACTATTGAACAAACAGCATATATATTAATAGAAATGTATCTGATTGTTATATTATAGATTTTACCAAAAAATATCAATAATTAAATTCTACAATATAATTCATAAAATATCAGTTACTATATATTATATTATAAACATTATATACAGTAATAACCTGAACTTTAGCACTATGAGGAAACAGCGATCTGGCAGTAATCAACCAAGATTTAGCCGCATAAATGTCAATCGGCAATGCATCTTTCGCACGCATAATTAAATAATCTTCTTTCGATAACTGATTGTTATCTGCGTTAGATGTTTTTTCTAACATATTGAATAATAGTAAATAATTGAAAATTTATAGAGAAAAATAAGAACAGCTAGCATACATTACTGTTTAATACTTTGTCGGAACCATAAACAAGACGTAAAATAGATTTCACATTTAATGGAACGCCATGTCACGTTTTGAAATGTCGATTGTTTCAAATTAATTTAAAAAAGTATGGGAAAGTAATACTGGAATAAATTATGTATATTCTAAATTTTATGTCGTGTGTTAAATCGTTTTGTAGTATTTTTAATGATACAGACGAGGGCTGTGCTATCGATTTCATAGTCTATGGCGCAGACGACGTATATATACTTCGTCTGTGGCCGTAGCAAATCGGAACATAGACGCAAAATTCTGTTTAATATCGCAATTATTCTACGTGTAATTAATGATGAACGGTTCAATCATAATGGAAATATTTAATAGTAGGAATTCCATTGAAAACAAAATCTCAGACAAAACTTTCTAACAAAGGCACCGACGAGATATATGAATGAACCAAATACCTTACCATGGGGTTTCGTGGGCAGGGATCTTAAATAACAACATGGTAAATAATTATTGACTTTTTAGTGAACTCTACGTTAACGAACGATAAATTAGGAAATTACATCAAGTAAAACGATCGAGGTTGAAATAACAAATAATACATATAATAAATAAATAAAAATAAAATAAATATATAATAAGTGAAATATAATATTATATAATAAATAAAAGTAATAAATAAAATAAATATAAATAATTTTTTAAATAATCAGAGGAAATATAAAATCAAAAATATGAATAATCAGATATATAATTTAAATAAATAAATATAAATTTTTTTATCCCAATTTTCATTAACCGTTGTTATAAATCGTTATATTCCTTCATTGATAAAGGAATGTACCGCCAAGTTCAATTCAATAAATAATTCTAGAAGCAGATGTGACATTTTTTTGAATTTGCATATTTTTAATTTTCATCAATAGTAGCGCTGCAGTGCAAAACTTGCCTGAATCGGTACGACAGGATGTGACACGAAAATGGTAAAGAGGTCCTGACACTCCCGAATCGTTGGCGAAAAAATATATTGTATGCTATATTGTATGTTAGTTCTACTCATATACCTCGTCTGTGCCTATGTCATACACCATTGCTGTGTCTTCTCGTCTGACACGCGACACATATTTCTATCTTTGTCGCACACTAGTGCAATCCTTGATACTGTGGCTATACTTACAATTAGATGTATGCTTTTAGCAAAGATGTAGGATGATGGTCAAGGTAGGACAAAGTCAAGGTTGAGTTATAAATGGTACAAGGAGGTAGAATGCCTTACGTCTCAGAGTCGCCATCAAATTCATCAGTGGGATTAATGGCAGCGACAGCTAGGTCAGACGATCGGTTTATTAGGAACCTCTGGGATAAGTACGGATGGTCACTCATCCTAGAGGTATTACGCACGCTGCACGCTTAACTTGCAGATCGCACCTGATAGTAAACTAAGAGACACACACTTGCAGCTTGTCGTGTTCGTATCTTGAAAACTTGTATGCTAAATAAGGACTGGATGGGTTGGCCGTTACACAACTTGCAAATTTCCGAAAATTTTTCAAAATAAAGTGTGTTTACACCAAAAAAATGTAAATAAACATTAGGAACCAAAATTATGCAATGAAATTATCTACAACACGTCTGGACAGTTCATACTGGGTAAGTATGGGTAAGTATCCGTATGTTAACTTATTTCTAAGTGAATTACTATACAATCACTTCTAACACTTGTTGATAATTCATGGATACTGGGTAAGTATAGGTAAGTATACTTGCAATCGAAACTTTGAAATTTCGTTTTGTTTGCAAACATTGGATTGATTATTGTGGTTCTCACTGTTTATTTACATTTTTTTGATTGTTTGTTTTGGTTTTCAATGTTTATTTACATTTTTCTTGACGTAAACACACTTTGTTTTGAAAAATTTTCGAAAATTTGTAGTCGGAATTTCGAAAACTTTGAAATTTCGCTTTGTTTGCAAACATTGGTTTGTTTATTTCGGTTCTCACTGTTTATTTACGTTTTTTTGATTGTTTGTTTTGGTTTTCAATGTTTATTTACATTTTTTTGACGTAAACACACTTTGTTTTGAAAAATTTTCGAAAATTTGCAGTCGGAATTTCGAAAAATTTGAAAATTCGCTTTGTTTGCAAACATTGGTTTGTTTATTTCGGTTCTCACTGTTTATTTACGTTTTTTTTGATTGTTTGTTTTGGTTTTCAATGTTTATTTACATTTTTTTGGACGTAAACACACTTTGTTTTGAAAAATTTTCGAAAATTTGCAGTCGGAATTTCGAAAACTTTGAAATTTCGCTTTGTTTGCAAACATTGGTCTGTTTATTTTGGTTTCCAATCTTTATTTAGATTTTTTTGATTGTTTGTTTTGGTTTTCAATGTTTATTTACATTTTTTTGACGTAAACACACTTTGTTTTGAAAAATTTTCGAAAATTTGCAGTCGGAATTTCGAAAAATTTGAAAATTCGCTTTGTTTGCAAACATTGGTTTGTTTATTTTGGTTCTCACTGTTTATTTACGTTTTTTTGGTTGTTTGTTTTGGTTTTCAATGTTTATTTACATTTATTAGAAATAGATTATTATTTATATTTACTTTATTTATTATTTTTATTTATTATGTTAAATTTTACTTATTATATATTTATTTTATTTATTATATGTATTGTTTATATTTATTATTTCAATCTTGATCGTTTTACTTGATGTAATTTCCTAATTTACCTTTCTTTAAACGTAGAGTGCACTAAAAAGTCAATTTTTATTTACTATGTCGGTATTTCAGATCCCTATTCACGATCCCCCATGGTAAGGTGTTTGATCTATTCATATATCTCGTCTGCGAGCTTTGTCACAGACGAGGAATGTGAATAAAGATATGTCAATAAAGGTGTATGACCTCGTCTGTGACAAGGCAATATTAAAAACACAAATTTCTGCTTTATCAACTATAAATAAAAATGTGATCTTCTTATCACAACTCGATAAGAAAATTTAGTTTTGGCAATAGAGGAATAAGGTTTTTAATTTACAAAATAATCATATTTGATTATGAATACTTATTAATATTATACTAATGTATTTCTATTTAATATTAATTGCTAATGAATTTGATTATAGATTTACGAAATATATATCTTGAAATTTTTATGTACGTATATTACGGAAATTCTTTATTTATTAAAATGTAGCATAAAGCATAACAATGCAAAGGTTTAAAAAAACGTTTGATCATCCTGAACAAAGATATAATATTATAGATCCTGTAAGTGATAAAGGTTGTCGCTTTTCCATATACTTTCAAGTGATTCCATTTATAAAGATATAACAGGAGACACTTCGAAGTAGGAAATCCGCTTTACTCCACGACGCAGATTCTGTTCCAGAGCTTCCTTAAATGGTTAGAGCGCTTTGGCTTTGTATCTCATGGCTTCTCGTATTCCACTAAAGTACTGAAAATAAAGCAATATTAATGCGTCACTTCTGTTTTACGCGTAATATATAATCCCTTGACGTTACTTTCTCTTCTGGAAATCGCTGGACGATTGTATTATATTTGAACATTTCTACGATTACGTTCGTACGCAATTCTGTGCAAATTCTAGGTTCGTACAAGTAAAATTTTAGATATTCAAATTAATACAAAAGGGACAGTGCATTAAAGAAATTATTTGCGTATCTTTCTCTCGTTTGTGGCGTACTATGAATAGCGAAGGAACGTCGAAATTTCACGTGCTTGAATCATTTCGAGCGTAGAACCACGCGGGAATGGTAAGGATATCGTATTCGTCTCCAACTAAATTTTACGTCTACGAAGTGGTTAGGGGATGCACAGTCTGTGGTTGTATTTGTTACCCTCTGTCTCGGTGTCTCTCCACCCCTTCAGCCACAATGGCATTAAAATTACCAAGGAAATTCAATTCCCAGTTGGAAATGTATCGCGCACGTGTAGGTCATACTCGTATAGACGATGCCGGGGGTAACGTAGGTAAAAGACAGGGATGTCTAATCGTTGGGCTCCTAAGATTATGCCGCACTTTGAACGCCTGAACGAATCAGTTTTACTTCCATTAGCGTGCCATTTCTCTCTTAAACAGTTACAATTAATCATAAGCTCGTTGCAAACTTTTCCAATTTTCAGCGAGTTTTTCGAAATACAACGATCGCGTATTGTTGGAAGAGAAGGGAACGAACATAAATCCACAGTTTTCTTAACTGGCAATTTTAATAGGAAAAATTCGCGTATCGAGATTCACGAGAAATGCGACGAAATGTTACGTTTCACGGGAAATTGAAAATTCTGAAGTGCTAGCCAGAAACTAGACGTCCCTGTTCGAGGCGATATAGAAAAGCATATAACACACGCACGGCTCGCATACGTACGCGAGCCCGCTGCGGATAGCTTAGGTTGGTTAGTTAGCGTGCAAGTACACGTATCAAAGGCACTCAGAATCCGAGCTTAACAAAGCCAGCTTTGGGTTTACCAACCGTGTCACGTAGTACGTGTATACCTTACCTGCTCACGCTTCGCAAAACCTAAACCTCCTGTGGCCCGTCTAACTTTGGTCTTAATGCGTCAACGGGGAGGGATAAGTTTCGTTGGGGCAATTAAAACTAATTATTCCCGTCCGCGGTGGCATCGGCTAACCGGAGAGACCCTTGCGGCCCGATCGTTCGTAATTATATACCACGGAATTGCAATCTCGTTAACCGTGAATTTATAGAAAACACTTTGGAGGTCTAATTGATTGCGATTGAATTAGCTACGTTATCCGGACCTCTTCGGCTGAAACTTTTACGTCAAAGTTCAATTCTACTTGTCAGAGTGTACGATATACTTTTGAAAGCTTTGCAGCATTGCTGAAATTGTGAAATTCCAATTTCAAAGACCATGCTGCGAATAAGAATATAATAACTGCTTCAAACTGTTTGACAGTTTCGGGCTAATCGTGTATTTCTCCAATTTCTTCAAACCTCTAATTTCATTTTTCCAGAAAAATTGTTTCATTGTGTTCTTAGATCTCATCATTTTTCATCATTGTTGACCATTTCACTTCGTTCAGGTTCGCATCAATTTTCAACCGTTTCGCGTTAAAGTATTTTATTACGTTATAATTACTCTACTATCTCGTATATTCGTGACTGTAATATTTTACATTGAAATATT